AATTCCTTGCAGCCACTACCTGTGCTTCCAGCTGCAAATTAACTACTCTCCAACTCTGCACATCCTCTTTCTTAACTTCTTTCCTTAGGAAGAGACACCCTTGCTGGCGAGTTCCCTTTCAGCATCAGCCTTTCACACCAGTCCCATATTTAGCTACAGCTTCCCCTGCTGTTCGTGGGAATGACTGTGGGAAAAGAAAAAACCACAACAAAAACCAAAAAACCCAAACAAACAAGAAAACCCAAACAAAAGGTCACACACTTGTACATTCTGTGCACAGCCCTATGGAGAAAGACCCACCGACCTACAGGAAAGGAAATAAGACAAAAGACACCCCTGAAACACAGTACGTGGGAACAACCTGCAGGAAGAAACTACCTGCAGTAAATAAAACTACAAAAATCCCACCCACCCCACTGGCACCAAACGTGCGGTGGCCTAGGGAAGGCACCAGTGACACCACTTAGAAGCTCTCCGTAAGCACAGGTCCCTGAAGGCAAAGTTTTTAAGACTAAACATGGCCCTGTGATAAGCTAATACACGATAAAAAAATAAAAAAAACTTGCAGGCAGCTCCTCATTTGCACTTGTCAGCCGAGCAGGCTGGAACTGCTCCGACAGCCGTGTGAGCACCAGAAACGGGTGGGAACAGGGAGGAAGGGACGGGGGAAAGGCAGAGGTGCGGACACAACAGCCGGAACCATTCGAGGGTTTGTTTGGCACCCTAACTGTATTTACACATGCGCTTGGTGCATTTCTTTCGCTCTTCGCCGCAGCAAGGGCAGCTGGACGGCTCCCGAGCCCGACCGGCCCTTCTGCATCCCAGGGGATTCCGCGGAGCACCCGGGGACAGCCCGACCGGGGGCTGCCCTCCCGCGGAGGCGCCTCCCGTCGGGAAACAACGCAATGAACACGCTGTCGTCGCTGTTGTTGTTTACAGGAGCGACACTAAAGGAGAGACCGGGGGCAGTTCCCCGCTGGCGCGGGGGTCGGCCGCTCCGCCAACTCCCACGGCCCGGCCCCCGCCCGCCCGCCCGCGCAGGGCTGCCCGCCGCGGCACTCACCGAGAGCAGCCCCGCTCACATCGCGGCCCGGCCCGGCCCGGCCCGGCCCGGCGCTGCTCGCAGCCGGCCCCGCGGCCCGGAAGCGCTGCGGAAACACTGGCGGGTCACGGGCGGAACCACCGCGCCCGCGGCGGGGGGGCCGGGGCGAACCATTCGGAAAGCGGCCGCGGGGATGAACCATTGCGGAGGGGCGCGCGGGCTGTACCACTGCGGGGCCGCGGGAGGAGCGGGCCGCAGCGCTCGGTCCCCGCGGGCAGCGCCGGTCCCGCTCCGGCCGCTTCCGGTTGCTCCATAGAAACAGGGTTGGCAGGGGTGACCGGCATCCCTCCGCCGGTGTCTCCAAGCTTTGTGGGGAGAAAGCGGGGCGCAAAGGCCGCCGTGGTGCGAGGCCAGCGCGGGGCTGCGCTCGAGGGACGCTCCGTTCCGCTCCGCCGGGCGCCGCCTTTCGGGGCTGGGAGCATCCTCGCGCAGCCCGGTCCAATACCTCTCGCAGACCGCTGCGGTTTTTTTCCCCTCTAACTACTCTCGGCTGGGCCCGACCCAAATGTTCCCGCGGCGCTGGGTGAGCGCACGCACGTAGAGGAGGAAGGGCTGGTTTCGCGCTGTTCCATCGCCGCGGGGCTCTGCCCGGGCTGTCCTCGGCTGGCCGCCGGCAAGGGGAGCGCAGCCCGGGCTCTGCTTGCAGGCGGACGTGACCCAGAGCTAACGTGCGTGTCCTCGCAGACACTCAGGGCATTGTCAGGAATCAGGCGGATACCGGGGAGAAAACAAGGTCCTTTTCCAGAGAACACAGAGGGGACAAAACCCGCGCCAGCCTTGCTGCTGTCTGCCTGCTCGAGGCCTGAAAGAGGGGCGAAGCGGGAGGGACCGGGGAGAAGCCCTGGTGATGTCCCAGCCCGTGAGCACGCAAAGCCTCGTGCTGGAAACGGCAAGGCCTGCGCTGTACAGAGGCAGCTTCTTCTTTGCAACTTAGTCCATGCGGGGTTTGCCAGCCTCCAGGAGTGAGACTGGGGGCATGTTCCCCGGTTTGGATTCCTCCCCGAGTCCATGGGCGCAGCACAGCGGCACTGGCACGGAGGGCAGCCCGTGACGCTCTCCCGCCATCCGCGAATGCACTTCCCTGTCACTGCACACATCGTGGCTCTGGCACCGCCGCGGGGACTGCAAGCCAGCTGGGAACAAAGGGAAGAGCTGCAGGGCTCGGATAAGCGGGGGATAGCACCGGCCGTGTCAGCAGGACATTTCATCCCAGAGATTAAGGGCTGAGCTACGAACTTGTTTGGAGCTGGAGGGGGAGCGGGGGCTGAGGGCAAACCCACCAGCGCTGTAGCGAAGCCCCTGGGCTCAGGGCCTTGCCAGGGCAATAGTAACCATCCTGTGAGCCGGGCGGTCTCGCCGTTCCTGTAGACTCGGACGATGGCACCGCTGGAGCGAGGGTCCGGGCTGCAGAGGGGCAGCACTTCGCCCCTGCAGCAGCGCACCCTCTGCCCGCCGTGCGCTCAGCTGGCTCCGCGCCGGCCTGCTCCACGCTGGATGGTTTAACACAGCGGTCAGCGAGGTCCGAGCAACATCCAGAGCTTGGCAGCCAGCTGTGCCAGCACCGCTTCAAAACACGCTCCGTCCCTGTGTGCATACAGTCAGGAGAAGGACTGAAGAAGGTTTTTGTTCTTTTTAAAAGTAGAACCGGGAATGTGGAGTACTGCCTGGAAGAAGAGGGACTTGGAGCAGAGGAGCCAACAGCACGTGTGTCCTGTACAATGTAGAGCAGCTGGCAGAAACAGCAGTGCTGGTAGGGAGGTGTCAGGGCACTACCCAGACATGTTATTTCCACTATAATACCTATTTTATAAAAAAGAGTATTTTCCATGTTTGTGCCTTCTTTTGTGTTGGCTCATGCCCGAAGGGTGGAGGGGTCGCTGGTCTCTGCAGACGATGTCTCTCCAATCCAGGCAGCATCCCTGTGCTGGGGAAGATGTAAAATACGTGCCTTTTCCCCTAAGGCTGCTGGGTGAAAACAAAAAAAACCCACATAGCATGCACACAAAATGACAACAGAGACAGCCTGTCATTGTGCAGGCTGTCACACAGAAGAGGGGCTGTCCCCCCATCCCCCTTCCACACCGGCAATGGGAGAGCAGAGGCACGGATGAGTGTTAAAGCACTCCAGCAAAAGATGTAACGAAATCCTTTCGATGTGGAATTGCCACCGACTATCAGGGAGCCCGCGCTAGGTTTTGCTTCCAAATCTTGCTCCAGATTGCAAAACACCCGTCGGAGTCGGGACAGCTGATGCCGAGGGAATTTTTCGCAAGGGATGCAGAGCTCGTGCCTTTTGCCGGACAGCATGCATTATCAGTTCACCAGGGATGAGGCGTGTGGCTGCTGTTTGTGGCCACATCTGCACCCGAAGTGTTTTTTCTTGCCCCACAGCAGTCTGAATGAACCGGGGGGTCACAACAAATGTGCCCGCCCCGCAGACGCGCTCTGGTTCCGGTCTGTTCGAGGAGGGCGTGTGTGTCACTTGGGGCAGATGGGAGCCAGCCTGCAAGACTCGACGCCTGGCTCTCTGAGTCTCCAGACAGGACTATTCCCACTACGGGACAACGCTGTGCCCATCCATAAAGCTCTGCCTCTGGTGCTTGGCAAATCCTCCTTGAGGTGCACTAAAATTTTCAGCATTCCAGCTGTTTGCTTGGCTGCGGCTTGTAGGGTGATGGGCGGGAGCGAGCTCGCCCCACCAGAAGGTGAGCGCTGTTATACTGAGGATGTACAGAAAACCTCCAACTGCACGTCCCTTTTTTGGGGGGGAAGTTGCTGGAAGTAGACTCCCGGGACCGAGGGACCACCTCCACCCCCTAGCACTGCGAGGGGCACTCGGGTCCGCCGTACGCCCAACCCAGCGGAGAACAACGGAGAGGGGAAAACATACAAAAACTGAATGTGACACCGTGACATCTGATGCAGGGAAGGGAGAGGCGGCGGGGGCGGCCGGGGACACCCCGACTCTCCCCCGCCCCCTCGCCCCGTCCCTCCCGCACCGCCTACGTGCGCCCCGACACTGCCCTGATGGCACGGCCCCAGCGGGCCGTACCATGGGCCGGGCTCCGGCGGGGGCGGAAGGGGGACGGAGGGGAAAGGGGGAGATGAGTGGCGGGGCCATGGGGAGCCCGCGGGGAAGGGGCTCCTCGCGGGCGGCGGCGGCAGGGCAGGAGGCTCGCCCCCGGCGGCCGCCGGCCCGAGCGAGGCGGCGAGGGCGGGGAGAGCGGGGGTCGGCGGGGCGGGGTGAGCGGGAGGCGGGCGGCGGCTCAACAGGTACAAATGGTTCCTCCCCGCAGCAGCAGCGACGTGCAGAAGCGAACGCGCCGCGCCCGCCGCTGTCACCGCCGGGGGGGCGGGGGGGCCGCCTGCCCGCCCGGCCCCGCCCCGCCGCGGCCGTCGGCGGGCGGTGGCGGAGCCGCCATTGGCTGGAGCGGCTCAGGGGCGGGGCCGACGGGCGGGCGCGCGGCGTCGCTATTGGCCGGAGCGGCGCGGGGGGCGGGGCGAGGGGCCGCGGCGCGCGGCGTGGGCCGGGCCGGGGCAGAGCGAGAAGTTGGCGGCGGCGGCGGCGGCGGGAGCGCAGGTGAGCGGCGGCCGCGCCGGGGAGGGATCCCCCGCTCCGGAGCTGCGGGGCGCCGCCGGCCCCGGGCCGCACGGGCCAGCCTGTCCCAGGGGTGGGAGCGCGAAGCTGCAGCTCCACGCGCCGCGGAGCCCGGGCACGGCGCGGCTCCCCCCTCCCGCAACCCATCCTTCGCGCTGCCCGGCGTCGCCTTTGCTGCAGGCGGGCCCCACCGCCCCCCCGTCACCCTCCAGGAGCAGGTGAGCCACTGACTAACGCACATTGTGCTCTCGGCGACTCCACTGTGCGTGTGACAGCGGCTAACCTGCTCCTCGGACATCACTGTGCGGCCGCCTCGCCTCCCCGACCCGCGCCTCGAAGCCTCGACGCCCTCCTGCCCCCTCGGCCAGCCAGGTGAGGGGCTCCGGCGGGCCAAGGAATCGCTCCCCCGTCCGTCGCCACTGTCCTGCCTCCAGCGGTTCCCCATGCTCGGCTCTGCGGACCCCCGATGCGCTGCCGGGAGTGCCCCAGGATCGGATGCGCTTGCACGGGGGAGCGCGAAAAGATTGAACAGCAGCGGGGCTCGGTGTGCCCGGCGGGAGCGGAGATGGAGGGAACGGGCCGTGTCGGCATGTGGGTGCGAATAGTTGGTGGTAAAGTTGTTCAGGAGGGATGGCGTGCTCTGTCCGCTTGCTCTTCTCCAAAGTAAATAAGTGCTAGCGGACTCCGTACCAAGTTAGAGACGCATCATCCCGGCCGGTGACGTCTTGAGACCCGGTCAGTGACTAACTGAACTCCTATTGCCAAGGGTGTGTTAATAGAAGAAACTCTGCCTAGTATTGCCCTGGATGAGTCACATTTAAAGAGAGACTCTCTGGTCTGTTAAAGGAAAAGCAGAAACAAGCCTCACTTTCCTTTTTTTGTTACTGTTTTTTTTTTTTTTCCATCCCACCCCTCACCTTGGCTTGCTGTTTTCTTCATCTTGTGCCAGGGCTGTATTGGCGCCCCAGCCCTGGCTGGGCATTTGCAGAGCTGCCTTGCCCAATGTGCTGTGATGTCACGCTGGGGACTCTGACTTCATGGCCCTGAGGAACAGGAAGGCGAGCCAGGCAGGGACTTTTCCAGCCACCCACGGTGGCTGTCACTAAAAACAGAGGAAGTGACGAAGCAGATGGCTTCTCCTACATAGTTATCTCTTGTGATTTTTCGGCTGGTGAAGAATCTGGGTAGTTGAAAAGTGTGTTTTCTGAAGAGCTGCACAGCTTCATTGTCAGCTGAAGTTCCTAATAACCAGCTGGGATTCACCACAGTTGCTGAGTTTCCTTGGAAGGGCTCAGGTAGTCCCCTTACTCCTGGGGCTGCTCTCATGTAACCCTGGACTGTTGTAAAGGCATGATCTGAAGGAACTGGCAGTGCTCTGGTCAATAAGTAGTTAATTGCACACAAGGTAGAGCAAGGTCCTCTGTTGGTGAAGTGTGTCTCTGGGAAGTTTTGTCTGGGAAGTTTTCTCCTTCGTGCTCTTATAATTTCTGCCTGTGGGTCCCAGAGGAACAGCTGCTCTTCACAAGAAAACTCTGTGCTCTGTGTTTCCGTAGTGCTCAAACAGCCTGGGAAGATGGGAAAACCAACCAAAGTTACCCAAGATGCTTTCATGTTTGTTCAGAAACCAATGGGCCTTTTTATTTTTTTTTTTAATGGGGGACAGGGTTGGGGGGCAGACAAATTTGCAGCTGTCTCAACCCCAGATTGCTTTTTTCTTCCCTAGCTGCACCTACAGCATCTTCCCACTGCTGGTCCTGAGCAGGCAGGAACACAGTGTAGCCACAGAGAGAGGGAAACCTGGTGCAAAATCCATCCATGTACAAGTGTGTCTGAGAGCTGAAACTGAAGGCCACAGTCCCCCTGCCACCCCATTTTATAGCTGACCACGCACATAACAAACCTGTGTCTGAAAATAAAGGTGCTTTGTTTCTTTTTGAATAAACAGCCCTGCGTTTGGGACTGTGCTGGCTGGTGACTTAACCCTGGGAGATGCCGCTGGCAGAAGCAGCTCTGCAGGTCTCCTGGCAAGACCTGTCCCAGTTCCCATGAGCAGCACTATGGGTATGGATGCTTCCGACTTCCTGCTACCAATGGAACCATCCTGTTCAGCTCCAGTAAGCAAAAGGAAGGGGTTGAAGTGAAGTTTGTTTGGGTTTGCCTTTTTGTGTGTGTCTCCAGTAAGTGGGGGGAACATCCAGCTCAGTTCCTGTTTTTAATATTCTTCTGGCATGATTCAAATCTAACCTGCTGTGCTGTCACCTGAAGTCTCCAATAAATATGCAAAACCAATGTTTGAGTGCTGATTACTGTAATCCAGGGCATCAGACCAGGTGAAGAGGAAAGCTGTGCCTTCTCAGTGATGTGTCTGATTGTGCTGCATTCCTGGTTCCACCCGTCTCTTACTTTGCCTCTGTGGCCAGTGAAAGTGGCTTGGAAAGGAGACCAGAAGGGTGTGACATGGTTGTCCCTCAAGCAGAAAGCCCAGCTGAGCCCTTCTGTCCTGGCTTAGCTGGAGGGTGCTCCTGAGTGATGAGAAAATGCACCAGGGCTGTGATGCCCTTTGATTTAATGTTTTTCAGTAGCTAATAAACAGATTTGTAAGATGGTACGTAGCTTGGTTAGAAGAGTAGTTATGTGCTTTCGCTCAGAACTGTAAGAGTTTTGGTGAGAGGCAGGGGAGTGCCTTACAGGAGGGGAAGATGCTGAATTTCAGGCCTGTTGAGCTGATGGGATTCTTTGTGCTCTTCAAAGATTTTTCATGTTTTAGCTCTTCATGGAGGGAAGGGAACAGGCCTTACCCTTCAAGCACCACACTAAGAGGCGCCTGTTGTGTTCTGTCCATGACATGTCCCACTGTCAGGTGAGCCCCACCCAAGGAGCAAGCTGCTCTGAAGGAGTACATGAATTGTTTAAGAGGAAGTCAGTTAGTTGAATGCAAGCAGGGACTTATATAATACATCCTAAAAAAATATATATTTCTGCTGGCAGGAGGTTCCGTTGGGAGAGAAACTTGCTCATCCATAAACAAGAAAATTTCCCAGCATCCTCTAGTGCTTTTTGGTTTTTTTTTTTCCAGGGCAAGGTAGAAAGCAGTCAGTCTGCACTCTGAGATAGAGAAAGAAAAATCACCATAGGAGAGCAGACAATGCTCCCTGCATGGACACACGCTCTGGTTCAAGCGGCTCTTCTTCATCTGCAGTGAACTATGCTGGTAGAAGCTGTGCAGCCAGGAGCAAGCAGCAGAGCATCTGTACACCACTTGGGGAGCAAAACCAACAGGCATTTTCTCCTCCAGACATTCACACCTTTCCTTATGTAACTGGTGCTGAAGTGTGTGCTTTAAAAGCTGCTTGCCAAATCCAGGGGCTGGGAGGCAGCAGAAATGCTTCTAGCACTCTAGATGAAATTGAGGGGGGAAAAGAAAACCCAAACACCCAGGAATTCGTACAAATACATAACTGCAACTTGAGGATGGTTCAAGTGTCCGCAGCAGTGTTGCCCTGAAAAAACTGCACTGGCCTGGGGCAGTGCTGGCACCCAGACCTCCATCTGATGAAGATGGTGAGGAGCTGATTGTCCAGGATAGAGGGATGAGAAGCTGGGGGGGTGGTCATTTTTTTACACAATATTAAAAAAAAATCCTTAAAAAAAAAAATCAGATAGTGCAGCCAGGAAAAGGGCGCCAGGGAGGCTGGAGGTGGCTGAAATACTCTTCTGAATGGTGCTTTGTGCTGGCAGAACCTGCAGATGTATTTGAAAAAAAAAAAAGCTAACAAAAAATCAGGGCTGCTCACCAGTAAAAACCAGGTATATCCTTCACTTTGTGACATTTGGGTGGCACTGGAGCTAGCCAGGAAAAGCATCTGAGGAGAGAGAAGCTCTGAAGTCCATTCCCACCCACTCCAGGGAAGGAAGAAGCTGCCCACACCGCCTGAGGGACATGGGGACATGAGTCCCTGTGCAGCCAGGCACAGCATCCTCGAGCCACCCTGCACACTTGGATCCCTGCCTTGCCCGCGAGCCAGTTGTTCCCTCTCCAGTACGCTCCGTACACAGGGCTTTTGGTCTGTTTTTAAGGGAAAAAATAATTTATTTGCTTTGTTTTAATCTCAAAACAATGGGTAATGGTAATTTCTTCCTACTACTCTGTAGTGGCCTAGAAAAGGACAGCATCATCTCCACTGTAGCAAGAAGGCTTGTCCCAGGGCATAAAATTTTAATTAGGAACAATCACGCAGCCTTGAAATGGGAATTGCAAGCAGCAAAAAAAAGCCAAACCATCAATAAAATATTCAATGGCAGAAATGTATTATTGACACAGACTTTAGAGCAGCTAAAAGCGGGGAGGCGGGGGAGTGGGTATTGAGCCTCGCTGTGTTAAATAACAGGCGGGACCCGCGCGCTTGCCCGGCTGGCACAGGCCCCCCGAGCCGGCAGGAATATGGGTCACCCTTGGCTGGGGAGCTCCCGAGGTAACACACGAGTCTGATTACCACCTCTCCCCCACGTGTACCACAGCAACGATAGAGGTGTTAATCAATTTATTGCCTCCTGAAACACTGCTGGCCTAGGCAGCAGCTGGGTGATGGTGGGTAGGACGTAAAATGAAGTAATTCTGCAAAGAGCCAGTCTTGAGCTGAAAAGGGTTAGCCCCTGCTCATGGCCCTCTCACTAGCCCCATGCCTGGTTATCAGTGGGGGACACAGTTGATTTACTCTGTCTTCCCACCCAGGCAGCAGTTCCAAATCCTGCATGCCAGCCAAGGGGCATCAACTGAAGGGCCAAATCTGCTGTGATATATATTTTAAATCCTTATTTTCCACACCCTCCCACACTTCCCTCTAGGAAAGACTGGTGCTGGTTTGGCCTGTTATGATTACGACTGAATTATGACTGAACCTACAAAAACGATAAATAATATATAATCATAATGGAGGGGAAAAAAGTCCCCCAGACATTCAAATTAATTTTATGCCCCCATTTGGAAGTACCATAGGTGATGACCCTTTTCTCATTATTCCTGTTTATTTTGTAGAAGGCAAGGCTACAAATGTAATCCAAAAAATGAAAGATCCAGTTTTAAAGCAGAGGTCAGTTTTTTGGGATAGGCAAAGGATGTCACATGACACACTGAAATCTGGCCACGTCCAAGGCAAGTGGATTTTCTAAACCTGCTTTTCCCTCACCTCCACAAGCAGCACTGAAATGCTGTTTACAATGTCCATCACTCACTTCTTAGCAAGGCAGAATCTTTAAAAGCAAGAGTCAAAAAAAAAACAAAACACATGAAGCCCAAAAAGCAAACAAGCAGGAGAGAAACCAAATGCAGCCGCACGGAACAAACACATTTTTAACTAATTTACTTGGAGATACATGATTTAAGGAGGAGGGTGAGGAGGAGCTTGAAAGGCAACCCACCCAAATAAATGCAAAAGCCCCAATTCAAAAAAGGCAACTTTGAAACTGCATCTCCCCACTGTGGCAGCTCTCCAGTCATAACCTAAAACACAGCAGTACCACTGGATCTCCCAAAAAAGCAAATTTTAATCCTTTAATATTACTTGCTCAGCCTGCTGGGCTGTGGTGGCACCTTGAAAATCGGCTTTGAGAGGGGAAGATGTCCCCAGGGACAAGAGCCCAGCAGAAGCTCAGGGGAGATGGTGATGGACAGCAAGAGCTGACATTCCTGACTGCTGTTATCCAGGTGCAGAAAAAGGGGCTTGGAGGCAAATGGGAAATTTCCCCTTACCTGCTCTTGTCTGCAGCTGAGCGCCACTCCCTTTGCCTCCTGTCCTAAAATGCTCTGAGCTGCTGCTGTGCATTATTAAAACGTTGCCATGTTTCATCCCAGAGATGGCCGCATCTCACCGGAGACAAGCTGCATCCCCTGGTTGTAGAGCACTTCACAATTAAAAAAAAAAAGAAAAGGGGAAAAAAAAAGAAGAAAGAGCACTACATGCATAAGAGGGAGTCAGTTATAAAATACTCACAGCTTTAATTCGGCAAATAGAAAGAGATGGCTTGGAAATGGAAGAGGCAGCTGCAGGGTGCACAAACCACTCGGACGTATCCATCAGGCGCCGGCAGGGACGGCTCACCCTGGCCACAACAGCACACTCACAATCGCTCTGCTCAAAGCCTTTCCCAAAGATTTATTGAAAACTGGATCTGCGGCGCACAGGATTTACATTCACGTGGGGGAAGCAGGGTTTTGCCAGGAACGCTGTGCCCAAGTCACATTTTTCACATACGACACGTTGAAAACGGGCTCAGGGAATCTCCCAGACAAACTCATCCCCTCCCCAAACCGCTTTGGTTTTGCAATCAAAATACAAGGCGACCCACCGCGACAGATGAACAGAATGGTAACTACTGGCCATCGAGTTAAGAAAATTAAAAATATCAGAGAAATGTCACCAAGAGTATTTTGGTCCTGTTCTCCACTCACACCACCACCGGGGAAGGGCTCATTCTGCAATTTTTTACTTTAGAAAGATCAAATTCATTTAAAGAAAAACAACTCCCGCTGTGTGTTTCCTTGAAGCATGGTCTGTGGCACCATAAAAAGTAGTTTCTCCTAGTTTCTTATACATAAAAAAAGGACAGGCCAGAAATTTGTCTTAAAACTGCTTTTGGGCCTCCCCTGCCGCCAGTGAAGAGGCTGTTTGTCATGGTCCCACTTGTAGTGACGAGTTGCTGTAAAATCTGTTAACTTGCTTCATCCACGTGAGCCTCCACACGGTCTCCACTGCAGCTGCCCTCCCCTAGTCAAAGGAACAATGACTTTTCCAAATGCACGATGTATCTTTTGAGGAGGCTATGCAGAATGGGTGCACTGCTGTCTTCTGTTCAATATAGAAACTGCTTAAAAAAAAAATAGAAGGGAGTCACTTTCATCCTCAGGGGAAAAAGGTTGCTTTGTGAGATCAGTCTTTAGTTTTACTTTGCAGTCTGTAAAAATATTCTGTCTGGCCATCCACATCCATTCACAATATAAAGCAGTAAAAAAAATATAAAATATATATGTGTATATATATATATATATATGTATATATATATATGTTTTATTTATAGAGTTACACTTTGAAGTGTACAATTGATCCTCCACTGCCTGGGCCCTTCTACCTCCAGATGCTCTGCCTGGTTGATACAACTGCAAGACAAGAGAAAAAAACACCTGAGCAATCCCACCATGGTGGGTAAGCACTTGCAAAAAGGAAAACAGGATGTATGTGAGCACAAAGCCTGGACAGAGAAATGGAAATATCTTGAAGGTTGGGGGTGGATGTATTGGGCTGTGAGGAAAATGGCAATAGGGTTTTGCTGAGGCAAAGGTGGCATGGGTGGGAGTAGGATGCCAGGGTGGAGGTGGCATCACCACAGCAGGTAGGTGTCCCTACCACAGATCTTTTTGCTGCACCCAAAAATAGGCACAAGGTGACAAAAGAGTCACAGGACGTAGAAAGGGTTTTGGGATGAAGTGGTCACTAAGATGGAAATACTAGCTCCCGTAAAAGACAGGAGACAAGTTCTCCTCATCCTAACTGAGCAAGGTCTTAACCCCGGGGGATACAGAATGGCAGGAGAGGGGATGAGAACCATTCTCCACAGCTCCTGGCAGGGCAGAGAGGCAGGCTGCCAGTGTGTGAGCCCCTGGCAGCAGAGCAGAGACTGCTGGAGTGTGAGCTTTGCGCTTCCTAATGGCATCTATAAATAGCTCTGGCCTCCCACCACCAGCACACGCTTGCTCTCTGCAGCCCATTTTGGGCAGCAAAAGCCTCTTCCCTCTTCCCACCCATCCTCTGCAGAGCAGCTCACGCTCCCAGGGCCCCACTGGACATACGCACCCTCAGGGTTCAGGCTGGACACCAGGGGCTCCGGCAGGGTCCTGGGATGGCCGAGGAGCTGCTTGGTGCTGACCTGGGGAGGCAAGTCTGTACCAGCAGTGGGAGAAAAACCTACAGGATGGGGAAAAACATCCGGCTCAGGCAGGGCTCGAGCCTCCCATGCTTGCTGGGCACAGCCACTGCAGTACTGCAGGGCAGTCACATCACCCGCTCCGGGTGCTCCAGAGGAGAAATGACCAGGTTCCTTTCCATGAGAACCCCCCGGCACCTCCTCTCATGCCTGTGTGGATGCAGACAAGGCCCTGGGCACCACCCTTCCCTCACCAAACATTTGTGGTCAGGGCATATCCCCACCAGCCCACAGCCCCCAGGGACTGATGTTGGCCTTTGGCCACCTGCCTTTTGCTGCAGCTGCTGTGGTGACATGAGCAAGGCTGTGAAGGAAAGCTCCCTGCAGACACCTCGGCCCCGAAAGCAGCAATGCAGGATTCGACTCCCATGCATGCCTATGAGCAGCCCCCAGGCTTCAGTGGGGAGGAGGAAGGAGCCCCAGGGGTGACAAATCTCTGAAACTCCATGGAGTGGTGAGCGACTGCCACAGATGTCAGCACGCAAAACCCCACCTGCC